GAGGACAGGAAGGCCTTGAGGAATGTTGTCCATGGGGTTGCGATGGGTCAGCCACGACTTCGCAGCTAACAACAACAATGACCCTTCATACCTCAGCTGTTCAGTGAATCACTGCAGTGGATAAGTTAGTAACAAGGTTGTTAAGTGAACCTAGCTTCCCTCTGCTTTACAGAAGTCAGCACAAGGTGATCACATGACCCCCGGGGACACTGCAACTGTCATAAATGCAGGTCAGTTGCCAAGAGTCCAAATTTGGATCGCGATGCTGCAGCGGTTGTAATTGTGAAGAAAAAAAAACAGTCCTAAGTCAATTTTTTCAGTGCTGTTGTAACTTCAAACGGTCACTAAATCAGCTGTTGTAAGTCAAGGACTCCACCTGTACTGTTAATTTTCATAACTTCCTGGCGTCAGAATGGGGGAGAACTGAGTTTTAATTAGAGAAGGACTTCAGTACCTGAAAAGAAAAAAAAATTGGTGGCTACAATCAGGAACGCGGTAGTTCAGTGGCTAAGACGCTAAGCTTGTCGATCAGAAAGGTCGGCAGTTTGGCAGTTCGAATCCCTAGCGCTGCATAACGGAGTGAGCTCCCGTTACTTGTCCCAGCTTCTGCCAACCTAGCAGTTTGAAAGAACGTAAAAAATTGAAGTAGAAAAATAGGAACCACTTTGGTGGGAAGGTAACAGGGTTCCGTGCTTCTTTGGCGTTTAGTCTTGCTGGCCACATGATCAAGGAGACGTCTTCAGACAGCGCTGGCTCTTCGGCTTTGAAACTGAGATGAGCACCTCCCCCTAGAGTCGGGAACGACTAGCGCATATGTGCAAGGGGAACCTTTATAATCAATCCTGGGACTACTGATGGGCCATTCCTATTCTAGACCTGGCATTTTTGTGAGTGCCAGGTTAGAAGGAGGCTGCTCTGATCCGGGCAACTTTTCAGATGTCTGAATTTCAGCCTCATAATTTCCATCCAGATGTTCATCACCAGGGCGTACAAAAAAGCTTCCCCCTCCCTCCACCTATATATCATTTAAAAGTGGAGCTCTGTTTGTAATGTCAAACAGAAAAAAAATGAAAATTAGAGCGTTTCAGTAGCTGAAGCGGCTTTCAGCTGCCAAAAACATAACCATCATGGAATCGGAGCGTAACCAGCATACCAGATCTTCTCTTTAGGAAAAAAAATTATTGTCTGCCTGCAAAGTACAGCTTAGCTGCTGCTTAACCATAGCATCGTTACGCTAATTCCCTATAATTATAAAGATGGATCGAATAAAAGACTACGTTGCTTGTTCAGGATATCTCTGGATTTGTGGCTTGGTTAATTGCTTGCAAAGGAGCAGCACACAGCTCCTTTGCCTGGTTGGGTGTCCCTCCCTCCCTAACCGTTGGAAACAACAGGCAGAATTCCTAGCCAGATATTAGAGTCCCACCTCCCCATTTATTTGGGGGGAAGGGGGCACCCAATTGGGAAAGGTTTCTGCATTGTATGAGTCAGAGGTACATAACCTTATTACGAAGAGAGTTGAAGGGATAGTTTGAAAGGTGGGAAAGATGTGACTTTTTCCTATAGGGCCTTGATGGCGAACCTATGGCATGCCCAAAGTGGCACGCAAAACCATGTCACCTGGCCCACATGGCCTGTTTGTCTTCTGGGTTTGTGGCGGGCACGTTCATGTGATGATCAGCTGCCCTTCGTGCACGCGGCAGTGCCGAAAACTGGTGTGTGCATGTTTGCCAGCTAGCTGATTGTTAGGAACGCATGCCCGCTAAAACCCAGAGGTTTGGCTTTTCCGGAGCAGGGCCCTGACGAGCGCTTAGGTGCCCATGCAATGTTTCCTCACAACCTTTTTGGCACTCAGTGCTGAAAAGGTTCCCCATCGGTGCTGTAGGGCAGTGGTCTCCAACCTTGGCAACTTTCTGTGCGTCTTAGAGCTGTGATGGCAAACCTATGGCACACTTGCCAGAGGTGGCACACAGAGCCCTCTCTGTGGGCATGTGTGCCA